GGGGAACACCCCTTGCGGTCCTGCAGGCAAATGGGCCCCCAGCCACGTAGCCACCGCCTGCCCCCGGTGTGGTGGCGACGGGCCCGGAGTCCCGCCCGCACCCGCCGGTTTTCAGCCCACCCCATCTGTGTCCGTGGTCAGCACCCCACACGCAACCCTGCCCCCTCCCTGCTCCGTGCCTCAGTTTCCCCCTCTGCCCAAAGGGCATCCTGAGCGTCTTTGCTAAAGGGAAGCACCTGGAACGGGTGTCGAGGGAATGGAGGGAGGGCACTTTGCCCGCTTGGGGGGGCTGTGGGCGACTCGCCTGGAGCCTGGACTCTGATTCAGGTGGGTCCCGGGCCGGATGGGACATGCCCCCGACCAACCAAAGGGCAGACCTGGAGGGGGGAGCCTCTGCCCAAAGGGCATCCTGAGCGTCTTTGCTAAAGGGAAGCACCTGGAACGGGTGTCGAGGGAATGGAGGGAGGGCACTTTGCCCGCTTGGGGGGGCTGTGGGCGACTCGCCTGGAGCCTGGACTCTGATTCAGGTGGGTCCCGGGCCGGATGGGACATGCCCCCGACCAACCAAAGGGCAGACCTGGAGGGGGGAGACGCCCACCAGGTGGCTGCCCCCAGATGGATCCCAGCCCCCCAAGTCGCAGCTCACCCGGAGCTGCATCGCAATAGGCCTGGCCACCTGCTCATGCCTGGCACTGCAGCCACCTGCCCCCATCCTTGCAGCACCCCCCCACCCCGGCCGGCCCCCCCAGGAGGCAGAGTAGGGCTATCTTTGGCAGAGCCTACGCCTCAACTCCTAGGCTTGACTCCTCCTCATGGGCCCTGCCCCCGCTCTGTGACTCAGTTTCCCCATCTGCACAATGGGTGCTGTGAGGCTGGCTCCGGGGCGGGGATGGGGACACTGTTCCACGCCCACAACCCACCTTTCGTGCCCCGCAGGGCCTCCAGCAGGAAGTGCGCCTCCTCCAGGATCCGCTCCTCGATGCCGCGTTTCCCCACCCCGAAGTTCCTCAGCGTGGTGATGGAGAAGCGGCGCAGCTGCTTGGCGCGCTCCCCGTTGCTGAAGGCCATCCAGCAGGAAGTGCGCCTCCTCCAGGATCCGCTCCTCGATGCCGCGCTTCCCCACCCCGAAGTTCCTCAGCGTGGTGATGGAGAAGCGGCGCAGCTGCTTGGCGCGCTCCCCGTTGCTGAAAGCCACTCCTGGGGGGGCGGGGGGGA